CAAAGCGACTCTACGAAATTTTTGTTCTAAATATTTCAAACGCTTGTGTTTCACAATGGTTTCACACAATTGAAATTGACGTGATGGGTCTCGTTCAGTCTTTTACGCAAGCAATGAGTCGGAAAGAGACAGTTGGCTATTTGATTATTTTGATTGCTTTTGTAATTTATATTTACGAATAATTTAAATATGAATTAAATACTATATATACTAGTGCATAAAATGACACTTTTAAATGATAACTATGATAACACAATGTAGTACTTACTGAAAATATGATATACCACCCTGTTTTTTCACTTTAGTTGAGTAATTTTTACAAGGTTTTACTATACAATACGGCATCATTGACAAGCGCGCTGTCAGTCGAACAAACGAAGACTAAATCGTGATTGACGCTCTGTTCGGACACTTTTTAGCGCGGACCCGACGTCCATTTATTTGTAAGTCAATGCACTCTTCCATCAATTTTAGCACTGATGTTTTTTTCTCTGCATCTACAGACCCCAATGCCTCCACGATGTTTGCTTCATTACTTTCTCCGTTTGTTTGCAGCCGTTGAACATATGCACGAAAGATGTGTTCGAATCCATATAAAAAAGTCTGTTGTGTATGTATATGTATTTTTGGGGGAGACTGTGTGTGTTTACTAGCTCTTTATGATGATACCACGATCAGCGCTGGTCAACGATTGATATTTTATTGACGAGACCTTTTTTATGGATTCACACGAACTCGTATCAAGATTAATACACATGTGGATTTTAAGTGGTAAAATATTATTGGATCGAGTAATATTATTTTATCGCGAAACAGATCTAATTCGCCTTTGATTTATTAAGAGCCAGCAAGTTTGTGTTTAACCATTTCGTTATTTTATGAACGCCTTTTTCCGCAGAGCTACGTACTCACTCCCATGAATGACCAGTGAATACCACGGCAGTGTCGTCAGCGTAGCAGAAAACGCATCCATTTTCTATTTTAATTTTACATTAATTATGTAAACAAGAAATAAGGTTGGTCCCAGAACTGACCCTTGCGACGCCAAAGTTCACTTCCTTTTCCTCGCTGATGAAACTGCCTATTTTCACGAGCTATAGGTACTGTAAATAACTGCCACTGTTATCTCATGGTAGAGGCACTGTAATGCATAATTGGAAGAAATTACTATTAACAACATATTATAATATGAAAATATCTTTGAAATGTAATATGTAATGCATTGACCTACCAATAAATGGACGTCGGGTTCGTGCTAAAAAGTGTCCGCACCTATGGGGCGTTAAAATCGCATACAGAGCGTTAATCGCGCCACAGTCTTCGTTTGTTCGACTGACAGCGCGGTTGTCAATTATGCAGTACCATATAATTTTCCATAGTCTAAGCATATACTAATAACTGTAAAAATTACTGCAGTAAAATGTAAAAACCGCATTTTGTATCATATTTTCACTAAACAAATATTGTGTTATAGTTATAATTAAAAACCGTTATTTTCATTTTCATTTTCATTTATTTATTTTCTCGGATAAATTACATCCATAATTACAAGTACAAAACTAAACTAAACAAGTTTTTATTTTGTACAGTTGTATAGTATTTAATTTATATATAAATTAATCGTAAATATAAATTACAAAAGCAAACAAAATAATCAAATAGCTAACTGTCCTTTTTCTACACATTGCATGCGCGAAAGATGGAAAGAGACTCGTTATGTAAATTTCAAGAAGCTTATATAAACTTCTTGGTCATTTTCAATTGTACGAAACATAAGCGATTGAAATATTTGGGACAAAGAAACTATAGAGTCGCGTTGATTTTAATCTTATTTTTAAAATGACTTTTTATTAAACGTTAGCAATAAATAACAAAATATTGTTGTATTCGTTTTACGGCTTGGGATTACCTATCAGAAGTCAGAAAATATATTTGCCCGAAATAATGTTAGCTCGAATTTTCATAATGTCAAATGTATTTTTTGTAGGAAGATTACAAAACAAAAGCTAATTTTGTCTTTGTGAAAAGCATCAAAATTGCTCGAAAGCGTAACGGTTTTATTATAAATCGGTTTTCGGTTACAATTTAAATGAAATGTTTTAGTTTTTTATATTTCGTTTCATGTCACCACGTTTGTATAGGTTAACTTCGGACATTTTTTTCGTGGTTTTTGTATTAGACCCGACGTCCATTTGTTGGTAGGTCAATGAATAAATGTCACATTTGTTTTAGAAAAGCCTGGCTATAATAACTCATCACATTACACATTGACAATTTAGTGCTATTAAATTTAAAGTAGGCGTTCGACATTTTGTACTCATACAAATATAATATATAATTTTAAATAATATATGGTGTACGAATTACACTTCTACAAGAAGGAAATTGACGAACAGGTCTTTTTAGAAATAAGTTACTGTACGATTAAGCCGTTTTAAGAATAATTCATTCTATGAACAGGTCGTTTTGAGAATAGGACATTCTACGAACAGGCCGTTTTAATAATAGGTAATTCGGTGAACAGCACTTTGGAGTAAGTCGTTTTGCGAATAGGTCTATGTTGACTAATCCTTTTTTTCGAGTCATTGAAACAATTTGCAAATATTGCATTATAATTCTAAACAATGCTGATTCCCATGGGACTATATGTGTACGAGTACTATGTTTTCGCTTATCACCAGGCGCATGAATTGTTCGTCCCGTCACTTAGTGTTATTAAAAAAAAAATTAGTTCTTTTTACGCGGCATAGATTTACTTAAATTTCAATCTTAGAGTCGAGCACTGAAATCAAATTATTTTTTATATTTAATTGAAATGCGTGTTTTTGGGTACTTTGAAAGAAGTTGCAGAAATGAAAGTTATATCTATAAGGACACATAATATAATATTAAATAGGGGCTTGTAACCTAATCGTAACATAGATATAAACGATCGAAGTTACGAATTTTCACATGGATCGACAATCGAGCTTGTAAAATAAATTGTAAAATCTTTAGAAGACATTCAAATAAGCAACGGTTACTGTGGCAGCTCAGTTCCAAACCGTAATAATTCCAACCAAGATAATAGAATAAAAGTTTCCTGGGTCCCAGGGTACCCTTGGGTTCTGCACTTCAATCGTGGTCTCAATAAGAACCTCACTGCTTTCCGGTCCTACACCTCTGTCCTTGGTCTCTGATTCTCGAGAGTAGAGGGCTGCAACTTCGTGTCAACACTTATTCGAATATACTACACTACACTACATATTATTTTTTTATATGTAAATGTACTATTTACTTCTTACATCTCCACTTTTTAAATTTTTTAACACAATACTGTTTGTTTGTAATAGTATCTTTCCGCCCGAAAAAAGTGGCAGAAGGTTTTGTTTGAGTAATAATGCTTGTAGTGTCTCCAGTGTCGTATAAAGTTGATTTTGAATAAAACTTGGTGTATGAAAAATATTACGTTAAAAAAATAATCATCATTACTTAGCGTATGCTTTAACTGAATAGTATGTATATGTAAACATGTTTCAAAATATATATTTGTTGATATATTATGTTTGTTAGCCCTGCTACATTATTTTTCTATTTATTTATTGCTTAGGTATAATAAATAAGGTAAAAGGTATAATAATGTAGCCCTGCTACATTATTTTTCTATTTAGTTATTGCTATGGTATGCTATGTGGTGATACTATGAGTAAGTAAATAACATTAAAAAAAAACCATAGAATCTGGAAGATACGTCCCGAATCAGAAAGGCTGGATGGAGCGAACGTATATATCTGATGGAGCCACTATAGGCACAATTGGGCAGGCTGTAGCCATGTATAGGATTAAGAACAAGGCCATTGAGTCAAAGAATATTGGCGATGTAAGTTATATGTTGTTTGGTTTGTTACCTTGTTAAGACCTAGATATCGCACCTACTATATGACCTATATGACCTATGACAGAATGTCTATGTGATTGAAATTGTCTAAAGCTAAACAAGCACTATGTTCTAGGTATGAAAAGGCATCAGAAAAAGTTTTCATCAGAAATAATTAGTAAAATATTTTACTTAGAATCATATTTTTATTTTGACTATGTATTAACTGACATGTTGTGACCGCTACTGTCCCGGATGAGCAAGCACGCTTTGGAAGGTGATTGTACACATACGTGTGCAAACCTATCGAGAAGACTATACTGCGCTGTGAGGCCACGGTTACGCGCCATCAATACAGCTTACTCAACGTGTAGTTTATAAACGGTACACGTTTAGTATAGAAACAGTGCTTTACGTGAGGTCTAACCCTTAAAAAATTAAAACAAAGTTCTTAGGTTTTCGTGATTGTTATACATAACAAATGAAACTATTTTTTTGGATTTGAATCACGTATAATATTTGTTTTTTCAAACAAACGAAATTGTTTGAAAAAACAAATACGTGATTTAAATCCGGAAAATAGTTTCTTTTTCTAAATTAAAACCATTCGTAACAAATTATAATTCACTAAAGCTGTTATAATCTGTTTTAAATTTAGTGGGTTTTATTTCATTAAATTCTTAAGTTTGAATTGAGTCATGGTAAATGTCCTTTTCTGTCTATTGTGTGTACCTAAGTTTTTTCATAATGTAAAATATAAATTGTATTATACATTTTTCAGGATTACTTTTTCATGATGTTTGATATAAATTCAAAATCTGAAAATGTGGTGTCTGGAATATACAAAACACTATTTCGTACTATTGTACCAGCTTTGCAAGGTTGCTCAGGTTGGGGAGATCTTAATCCGCCACATCCTAAAAGTGAAACAGTTATAAATTATTACCTAAGCAGAATACAGCTGTTTGTGGATTATCTTGAAAGTGAGTATTTTTTGCACAATTGTAGTGACAAATGTAAACAATGAGTCACTGAACCTATTTTAACACTTGATTAAGCAGAAACGAAAGTGGACCTAGATTGTTGTACGAAGTTCAATATAAACATCGATTTGTATAACGATGAGTTAATTGATAATCAGAAAATGAACCAGGCCATAACAAAGATGCATGTTTTAGAAGAGATTTGCTCATTTGTGAAACAATGGATCAAACAGATTACTACGGTAAATAAATTTTGGTTTTGTTCTTGGTTTTATCATTCGGAATTTGGATTAGTATTCAAATTCAAATCATCTTTATTTCATAGGTAAGCAAATTACACTTGTAATCGTCATATTAAGTAAACTCTACAGCTCATTATAAATTTGTGAAAGAGTACGTCCAGGGAAAATATTGCCACCGAATCTATAGGTACGTATGATACATATATGCCAAGCAATAATGTAAACATTATTTCATTCCGGTTTTCAACGGTAAGAGTGTTGGAGAAACTGCAGGCACATGAGACTTGTTCTCAGGGCGGAGGATGCAGAGGATGGGCGTCTCTGATCTTTGCGATTTAAAGCTCTGAATGGCATTGCAACTATTATTGTGATGAGATGTGAATGAGTAGGGTTGATGCTTACCACCAGGCGCACGATTTGTTTGTGTCGTCACTGAATAGGTCGCAAAAATACTGATCAAAAATAGCAAAATTGAAGAAGTGATGATGAGAAAGAATGTTTTACTTGTGTTATGAGTGCTGTACACTGATATCAATCAAACAATTCATCCAAGTCATTGGTTTTGTTTTAAAATCTTCGAATCTTGTTTTAAGATTTTCGAATGCACACATTCTTTTGGGTATATGACCTGTCTAAATACTTACCCATTAGGCTACTACAACTGCACGTAGTCGACACTGATTTCAAGCAGTTATCGTCACGAGCCTATTTCAGGAGCTCAGTTAGTGTATTTGTTGATATCAAAGTGAAACATGGTACTCACTCATAGATATAGGAAATATATCTATGATGGTGCTTGTAGTTCGCTGTATTCAGATAATTAATATCGAAACATTTATTTCCTTAATAAAAAGTAAGGTTATGCTTTTTATTAAGGAAATAAACATAAAATTATTAAAATCCTCAATTTTAATTTGTCAACAAATTCACGTGAATATACCGACACCCTGCGGTAGAATTTGTGACAAAAAAATGTAAACAAAGGTGCCATTACAAGATAAATATTTTAAATGATATCAATCGACTAAGGTGATTAAACCCTCAAGTAATGGTTACCTTTTGCCGTTATTACTAAAGATCAAGAGATTTCAACTGCTATTTTTGATTCTCGTTCTATCGTTCACGTAGACTGCAGCTATCGGTTGCAGGTGAATTCACGACTATACGCAGCTGAAGTCTTGACTGCATGCAGTTTACCGCGACTTCACGCATTGACTGCAAACGTACTGTCCATCTGTACAGTCTGTTGGCAGCCTGACATTTTAACAATGTTTTCTAAACAGCCGTTGTCCACCTGCACATTCGTTTAATTTATTTTACGTTACGGCAAATGGACTGTGTTCTAGATTTCTCTAAAAATATAATTTTGAAATAAAAAATGAACTGGAAAATTTTAGTATTTTTAATGATTTAGAAAATATTTAAATTACGATTCAATCTAGAAGTACCGAAAGTAGCAAGATTTGAAATTTACAATAAATTTTTCGTATGTCCTGTTGAGGTAAAAATGCCCTTTAGTATATCATATATTTAGACGCAGCTTGTATCAATCTCATTCCTAAATATCATTCCTTCCACATTATGGAAAATGTAGACATATAACGATAAGTGGAGAATATTCGCTTGAAAGCTTAGTAAGTTCGTACGTTTAGTCAGTTACGATACGACATAACAAGCAGATGTAAAATGGATAGTATATTTAGCGACGATATTCTGATACAAGGTTTTTCTTCTATAATACTGATTGTACCATAGCTCGCTTCAGATTAAATGCTTAGGAACATTGACTTACAATAAGTCAATGCTTAGGAAGCATAATTTTATGTGTATTTGAAGTATCGGTTATCATATTCTCGCGCTAAAACTTTTACTCCTTAGGTCTTAGTACAAAGTACGCAACTACGTCGCGAACCTTCTAATATTGGGCCATTAGCAGAATTAGACCATTGGCGCCGACAACTTACTACATTCACATCCATTGTTGAGCATATAAAAAGCGATCCATGTCAGATGTATATATTTGCGCTCATCAAAGCCAAGTCCAAGCTTTTAAAGGTAACTAAATCTAAACCTACATGTTGAAAGCTGTCACGCTAAATACAAAAATATTGTATTATATTCATTGGCAATTTAGGGAGTGACCACATTTCGGTTTGAACCGGTTAGAAAAAGCTTAAAACTGGTTTCAGAGAAGTGCGGATTTATCTGCGGAACGTCCGCGCAGTGCACCGGAGCGGAGTTACACGTGTTGCGTTAGAACATCGTTTTACAGTTACGCGGATTGCTCCGTACGGAACATGTTCCGTGTGAATTCCACGCAAGCAACCCGTGCGTTCATTGTAGGCGACTGTATTCCGTAAATATCCGCACTAAATTAAATGCTCGTTTCAGAGCACTGCGGATGCGGATGGCCTGCAGGCGGAGAGTCCGTAAGGACCGTACGCACAGCTGTGAAACCAGCCTTATATTCCATTGTGCGTTTCGCTAAAGCCGTCCGAGCTGAACCAAGGGATCGGTCAACTGGACGATTGCTCATGTACATCTCTATTTCTAACGCGTTAATGTCCATACTTGCTTCATTTATTTCGGATTAGCAGTTCGTGTTCGCTTCCATTCAAACACCCGACGCGAAACGCACGTCTTTTTGTCTTTTATAACATGTACATAAAGCTTTTTCTGACTTAATGCGATTTCGTGGCGATAAGTGTGGGGACTCCCTAAGTACATCAAGTGACATTACGGTACTAATTAGTGAGTGCACTTTGTTTTATATTTACAAAATCTATATTTTAGAAATGGAAAAAGTTGGACAATCAAGTGACGGAATATTTCAACGAGTCTTCAGACAACGTTCAATATTTATACGCTCTTGAGAGATATTGTGAACCTCTGTACAGGTATGTTTTAATTTATTTTGACTACAACAAATCTCAAAGGCCTAGATAACAAATGCCTATATTTGTTAAATACTTGTAAAGCTTCCAACGGCCGTGGCTTTACGGGTCGCGCCGCGCGTGCGCTTTACACAGACACTACATCGCGCGTGATACAGCAATCGTGCACGATTGGGCGTGTGTGTAAAGACGTTGAAAAGAAAAAGGAAAGACCGCGCAGTTGCGCTCTTCATTCACCCACGCAATCGCACACTCCCAACACGCGCCAGTTTCATGCGGGCTATCCTGCGCTATTCGCCTTTATACGGACGCCCTTTCTGTTGAACCAAAACCGAACACGAGCAAACACGTTAGTTTAAACATTTCAAACAGGTAATCGAGCACGATTACAGTGCACTCTTTTCCCGCGCGCAATCCTGTACGCTCCTGATCACTCGCGATAGAGTGACCGTGTAAAGGGGGTTAATGTTGACCGTGCCGGCCGGCGCGGACACCCGTCGGATTCGCCGTGTGTCAGTAACTGCAAAGGCTCGCAGGGCAGCCCGGCAGGTAATCACTATTAGATATTAGAGCTACAGCATTTCCTGACATCTACAGATGTGATCCCCAGACTATGCAGCAATACATACCAGGTTTACTTTACACCATACGAATGATATATGCCACATCCCGGTATTACAACAATACTAAGCAAATATCTACTCTCTTAGTCAAAGTGACAAATCAGATACTGAATATGTGCCTGGACTATCTGACCTACGGTGGGAAGAAGACTATATGGAATCAGGATAAGTTGAACTTTATTAAAAAGGCTAAGGTGTGAATACTAAATATTTTATATTTATTGCAATTTCTCGTTTATGCACAATTAAATTAAGTTTTGAGTTTATTTCTTAATTTCTTGCTTTAATTTTGGGTTAAGTTCCTTGGTTGTAAATACGAAAAACTTGCTTAGCTCGCCATTTTTGTTTAGTCGAAGTCAAAGTTAGTTTTATAAATCTAAGCATTATTCGTTTTATAGTATCTACTCATATTAGTTCAATATTCTGACAATAGATGGTTCTTCACAATACTATTTTTATATGGGTAGACCATGGCTAGACAGTTTGTTTATGTGGCACCATAAATTCTAAAACAACCAAAATCAATACCATGTGTAGGTGAATAAATTAAAAATTGAGACACTTTGATGAGTGTTCCGTGTTGCAGCTTTGTTTTTTGACAGTTTATGGACAAGTTTTAATTGTATTATTCGGTATGCCAATAGATGACGCCTTAAAATTGTTTCATGACTCTAGGGGAAAGCTAGTTTCCGAACTTAAATCAATATGCGCACCATATCAGTCATTAACAACAGAATAAATAATGGCTTGTTTACACTTATTAAGTGACAAAGTAATTAAATAAGTTTTAACTAAATTTTAACTAACTTTTGCGTGTAATCAATCACTTAACATGTGTTAAGTAATCATCGATTCAGTGGAATTAGAATCAAACCTATTTTTGACGAAGTACCCCGTACCCCGCACATTCCCCGGCAGCCGTGCTTCGAAAGAACAATGGCAAAATTTAACCTAAAAGAACTCGTTAGCGTCTTCAAATATCTTAATTACAAGTCTGAATAAAATAAATTCATTTAGTTTTCAAATTAAAATCGTGGCCTACCTGAGTCTGGAAATAATGCTTAAAAGAAACTATAATGACTAATTAGCATGTAACCGGCCTGATATCTACAACTATCAGTTTCTTAACGTTGAGCGACATCTGGCAGCCAAAAAAAGAATTTTAGTACCTACATATGGGTATGGTCCACATTAAGTTCACGTAATATCAAATGTACTGACTCAACCGTATTGTAATAAGAGATTAACTACTTCATTTTAAAAAGTAAAGTAGATAATTGCCACGCGAAAAAAAGTTCCCGAAATCAGGGATAGATGGTACCTACGTTTTACAAAAAAATAATTGATGTCCGAGTTACCAGTGCGATTCGGCTTAACTTCATACCTTTTGACCATACCAGTATAAAAAATAATTTGCTCTGAACTTTCGTCTTGTCAAAAATCCACGGCACCAAGCTAAAGCTTCTGTAATTTATGATATAATAATACACCGAATATGTTCTATTCAACTACGTAACACATAACCTCCATAACTCCAAACTAAAATATCTTTAATTCCGGACTTCTCAGAATAGTAAACCCAAAACTTGTTTGCTTACAATTAAATTTTAAATGATAAAATAGGTAATTAAATTATAACGGTATTAAAAAAATATGATTATTATTATCTATTTTAGACTCGAATCTCCCAAGGCCTAAAAGATTAATTTATTATTATTATTGTTATTATTATATGTATTTTAGATTCTCGCCTTTCACAAGGCCTAAAAGATTATTTTTAAGTGGGAGAGGCGGTATTTCCCGGCAATGCCACAGTCAGCCGGGGTCAGGGACTCAGGTCTAAGAACCGGCGAACAATACGTGCCTTATCGAGCAGGATCGCCTTCTGCATTTGTGCTGGAAGTGACACGCCACAGAAATCCAAGCGCCTCAAGCTGTTAGAAAGGCTGACTGGACCCACTGAAACCCATTTGCGGACAAAACAATTGGGATTATTTCATTGGAGACCACATCCCACATCTCGTGCGCCAGGTCGAGATACTTCCGGCGTTTCTCGGTTTCGGCTTTCACGAGACCCTCGTCTTGCGGGATGGTAACGTCCACAAGAAATGCCCTAATAACAAAGACGTTGTATATCATTAAATTATTATTTTTTTTTAGCGCACATGTTACTAACATAGTTCTTAAGGTTTTGTAACTAATATGCTATGGACTTATTTCTCTGAAACAAACAATTTTTATTTTTATTCTAATTTTATTTTTATTTAAAATAAAATTTGTTCAGGAATTTCAACTTTGCATTTTCAAATATTTATCATAAACAGACGCATACAAATTATGTCATCAAAAATTTATATGAGAGTTTGCTATTGTTCTTTGTAGCATTTGGTGGTAGCCCACAGTTTTGTTTGCAAAATATCAAACTACTTATAGCTTCATTAAAACACGTCCAAACGTGAGACTATTTTGCCATTACGAACAAGCAACTTGGCCGTGTTCTGCATAAATGTGCTAACCCACAAAAAAATGAGTTATGAATGCAGTCTTATACCTTGTAATATAAAGTTTAATATTTTTTTCAGTAATATATTTAAAAAAGTTTAGTAATTGTTAAATCAAAAAATTGTTTTCACTAAAGCTGGTTCGTCTCATAGACGAATTTCGCAAAAATGTGTTATGTGGATAAATGAGAATTACAACACCTATCTTTCAACATGGTTTGAAACGATTTAGTTTAAGTACGCCTAACACATACAACTTGTTTGAAAAATGTAAATAATAGGGGTTAAAGTATGAAATTGCCGATTTGTACTGAATATCTAAATTGTTTATTTTTTAAATTTTTAACAAATTTATTTAATCAAAATAGTTGCCATTATTATCTATACATTGCTGCCATCTAATGGGAAGGTTATTAATGCCTTTGCGATAGAACTCCGACGATCTAGACTGCACAAACTGTGTGAAAGCATTTTGTACTGCCTCCTGGGAAGAAAACTTCTTGTCACGTAGATAATTGTCCAAATCACGAAAAAAATGGTAGTCCGTTGGAGCAAGGTCTGGTGAATACGGAGGATGACGAATGGTTTCTAACTGCAGTTCCTGAAGGGTCAAAATGGTTTCTTGTGCTGTGTGAGGTCTCGCGTTGTCGTGGAGCAATAATGGTGAAGATCGATTCATGAGTCGGGGCTGTTTTACTGCTAGTTTTGTCAACATGGTTCGGAGTTCGGCACAATAGACATCTGCCGTTATTGCTTGACCAGATCGGAGTAAACTATAGTGAATAACACCATGCTGAGACCACCAAACAGTTACCATTACCTTTTTATTGGTAAGTTTTGCTTTAGGACACTGTTGTGGCATTTGACCTGGGGTCAGCCATTGCATTTTTCTTTTCCGGTTATCATAAAGAATCCACTTTTCATCACATGTTACAATTCGATCCAATATTCCTTCATTTCTGTACCGGTTCAACAAGGCAACACAAGTTTCAACACGCGTTTCTTTCTGCAGATCAGTCAAATCATGAGGCACCCATTTTTCGTATTTTTTTATTTTATTGATTTGACGCAAGTGAGTCAATATTGTGGGTAAGGTAACGTTAAACCATGCCGCTAATTCCTGGGTAGTTTGACTAGGATCGGCTTCCACTATCTCTCTTAATTCATCGTTATTCACCTGTGTGGGCGTTCTTCCTCGTGACTCGTTCTTTAAGTCGAAATTTCCATCACGAAAGCGTTTAAACCAAAATCGCACGGTGCGTTCATTAGTAGACCCCTCTCCAAACGCAGCATTGATATTGCGGGCTGTTTCTGCCGCGTTAGTTCCGCGTCGGAACTCGTATTCAAAAATCACTCGAATTTTCGCAGTATCCATCTTTCTTGTCTAAATTGAATAACAAA